GCACCCCCCCCTGACCCCGGACTCCCCGCCTGACCCCGAATCCCCTGCCTGATCCCGGACTCCCGCCTGACCTCGGACCCCGGCAGATCCCGGACCCCGGCCCCTTCAGCAAACCCTGTTGGAGCTGGAGGGAGGAGCCCGTGTGTCACTGGCTGGCGGTCAGCTCGGTCCCGGGGCTGAGTGCCGAGACCTCTGGCCCACTCGCCCTTGGTTGTTGGTTGTGAAATCCCCTGCGTTTACGTGGCTTTAAGAGGAGGTGTAGTTGCCTTCCAGCAGGACAGCCCCGGACTGGAAATGCAGGTACTGTCTGTCCTGCCACCTCCTGTCCAGGCCCACCCGTGTCCACTGCTGCTCTGACCGAAACGCCAAGGCGACCCTCTCCCTCTCTAGGCCGCCTGCGCCCAGAGCCTGCCCCAGTCCAGCACCCGCAGTTGTTGCAGTAATTTTGCGGGTGCTCCAGAGAAATTCCTGTTCTTCCTTGGGTCTCTGCAGGGACCCTTGTGTCCTCTTTCTCTTTCAGCCCATATGCCCAATTAGCTACCAGCTCGTGTTAGTTTCACCCCGAGTTCTTGACCTTCCACTTCTGCCCCCTGACCTATGGTCAGCAGTCATTCTCAGGCCTGGTGCAAGGCAGGCACCCTGCTATTAAACACGTGGTATTTCAGTTACTCCACAGCAAACCCATGGGATGCACACTGTGGTCACTGTTTTGCCACTAAAAAACTAACCACCCAGCAGACACTCACCTTTGTTTTTTCAGGCTCACCTTCTTCCTCTCCAGGTCTACTGACTGCCCCCCAGGTCGTGGCAATCACCCTAGAACTTTGCCTCTGTCTACCTCCCACCAGGCTGACCACCCAGCTAGGCCAGAGCTCTGTCCTGTTCGTGGCTTAATTTTCCCAGTCCCTTCTTTCAGCAGAATCCTGGGCTGTCACATGCGTGTTCTGGGAGGAGATGACCAAGGCATGCTAGAAGGAAGGCAGCTGCAGATTGTGTTCTGTGCTGGGGATTTTTCTTTAACGTAAGGAAATGTTTAAACAGACATGAAGGCAGAGAGGGGTATCACAGCCACGGTATGCCCATGTGGCTGAGAGCTGCATACGGGAGCCATTGAGGACTGGACGGGGATCCCTCAGAGGGTCTCTCGGGGTCACGCTGTGTGCACTGAAGGACACATCTTCCCTCACCCCCCAGTTTGCTACCTGCATGAACAGAGGTCCCTTTCTGCCTTCCTGCCCTAGGTGCTAACTTTGAGTACATCATCACAGAAAAAAAGGGAAAGAATGGCAGTGTGGGGTTGATCCGGCTGAACCGCCCCAAAGCACTCAACGCACTTTGCAATGGCCTGATAGAGGAGATGAACCAGGCACTGGAGGCCTTCGAGAAGGACCCGACCGTGGGGGCCATTGTTCTCACCGGCGGAGATAAGGCGTTTGCAGGTGTGGTGCACAGCAGTGGTGGCAGATCACCCAGTGCCTTTGCGTCTGGGCAGGTGTGGGAGGGACACCTGTGGCGTGTGGCCTGATGGAAAGCTTCAGGCAGATACGCACCTCCTTGATGGTGCACAAGTGAAAACGCACATGGGAACCGCTTAGATGAGCAGCTCCGTGTGTGTTGAACGTTTACATGTGCTCTGCCGGCCTCCTGAGTCCTCCTCACAGCTGTCACCTGTCATAGCACCTATCACAGTGTGTTGCTGCTGTCTGTCCACGTGGCCAGCGGGGGTCAGCTGTCCCAGCACCCGCAGTGCCCACGCATGGCACACTCAGTAGCTACTGCTGGTTTGGGAGATACAGGACTGGTGGTGTCTGCTGTCTGGTATGTGGAACCTCATTTCCACTCCTTCTAGCTGGAGCTGATATCAAGGAAATGAAGAACCAGACATTCCAGGACTGTTACTCCAGCAACTTCTTGAGCCACTGGGACCGGCTTACCCAGGTCAAGAAGCCAGTCATAGCTGCCGTCAACGGTTATGCCGTGAGTGTCTGTCAAGCGTCTCCTCTCAGAATGCTTGAGGAATTGCACTTTGTGTACAAAGCATACGGATTTTTATGTTGAAAAGGCCGTAAGTGTAGTTCCCAGGCCAACAGGTGTCTCCTACCAAACAGTGCCAAAGAGCCGAGAACTGTGAAGAGAAGACACGTTTTGGCACCCACTGCCTTTGATGGGTGTTCCGTGGTGGCTTCTCCCCAGGGTTCTCCCCCAGCTGGGTCAAGGTCGTGGGTGTTGGCTTTGGCCTTTCTGTATCATTTAACTTTTTATTTATTTACCTTTTTGGCGGCTGGCCAGGGTGGGGATCTGAACCCTTGACTTTAGTGTTATCAGCATTGTGTTCTCACCAACTGAACTAACCAGCCACCCGATATCATTGTAATGCTGTTCTGACCCACATCACCCCATAAACTAACTTCTTTTCCTGCGGTTAAGAGCCCTATCTCCTCTCTGGTGTGTCAGGGTCCCTGTAGTCACACGGACTGCTTGGAAATGCTGGGGCTGGTTCTCAGTCTGTGGAGAAGCAATGGGATGGGTCGTTTCACACATGATTATTTGATCAGATCCTTCTGTGTAAGCCAGGGGCTGGCAGGTAGAGTTGTGTTGGGACACAGCTATACCCATGCGTGTACATATTCTCTGTGGCTCTTTGTGAGCCACAGCTGCAGAGTTGAGGAGTCACAACAGAGACCACAGGAACCTAAAGCCTAAAGTATTTACTGTCTGGTTCTTTACAGAATAAGTTTGTCAGCCCCTGGTGATAGCATCAACCACATATACATAATTTATTGTAACGCTTAGCTAACTTTGTATGGCTGTGTTTATCTTTGCCGTACCTGGACTCTGTCATTTTCATGGAAAATTTAAATAAGCAAATAGAGTGATTTTCTTCCTGGATGCTGATGCTGAATGTTGCTTTACAGCTTGGTGGGGGCTGCGAGCTCGCTATGATGTGCGACATCATTTATGCTGGCGAGAAAGCCCAGTTTGCACAGCCAGAAATCTTGATAGGAACCATCCCAGGTAAAGAGTGGTGAAATCTCTAGCATAAGCCCTTCAGGTCATTCTTTCTTTAAGATCTGCCCATGTCTTAGGGCCTATTGCTTACATCTGACTGGAGGCCCTGGGTGGGCGGCTCTAGTTCTGGCCAGTGCTCCTTCTGCAGACCAGCACACAGAGACCAGGGCAGACATGGTGGAGCCCAGAGAGTGGCCCTGGGGCTGCGTCCCATGTCTGATGGTACCAGGAACGGCTGGTCACACGGCAGCAACGCTGGCTAAGACCCACCATGGTTCTCTCCTGTTCACGATCTGCATCCGTGGCAGATCCTTGTAGGTCAGAGCTTAGAAGAGAGAACACAGTCACCCCAGCTGGCGCTGAGAGCTCTGCCCAGTGTGACTCGGGTCCGTCCACGCCCATCTCACTGGCAGGTCACATGGCCTCGCCTAGTT